TGGAGCGTTGGGGGGCAGGTCACGGAGGGTCGTCTCCGCCGGAGCAAGGACTCGCAATAAAATGCTCATTCGTGGCTTGAAACGCCACCTCGGTGTAAATTCCCCAGTTCCTACCTCCAGCCAAGACGTCAGGTCTGAGCTACGGGCCCACCCACTTGATGTCCACAAGGCATCTCACACTTATTGTGGCCCACTCGTTGTCCTCCCAGATGTCCCATTTAGGCTCCCGTCGTCTGTCACCTGGGTTATGGCAGCAGCCTCCTCCCTGGACCCCCTGATTCTGTTCTCCCTGTCCCCACCCACACTGTAGAGCATGGTAAGGTAGGGGGATCCTATTGAAACGTCACTTCTCTGCTCAGAACGTTCCATCTCACCCGGAAGAGTGAAGTCAGAGCCGCCGAGGCCACCGCGTGTCCGCAGATCCCTGCCCAGTGGGCCCGAGACGCCTCGGCCTCCCGACCGTGTGCCCTTTGCTCCTTCTGCTCCAGCCACGTGGACATTCTAGCTGTTCCTGCCTCAGAGCGCCAGCAGCTACCATTTCATCTTTCTAGAATGCTTCTCCCCAGGGCAGGGTTTCCGTTGGCACTCGGGGTTGTCGTGTGTGTGTGTGTGTGTGGTGGGGGGCGGGGGAGCGGGCAGCTAGGGCATGTGGTTGGGAGGACGCCCAGTGCCTCGAGGGAATTCCTAGCACTGTGAAATCAAGAGACCAGCACTTCAGACATTAACTTGCACAGGGGTTCCCTGGGGAGCCTGTTAAAAGGCAGTTTCGGATGCAGAAGGTCTGGGACTGGCCAAGACACTGCCTTTCTCACAAGCTCCCAGGTGATGCTGATGCTGCTGGTCCAGGGACCACACTCTGAGTAGCTTTTAGCATTGCCCTGGGAAGACGCATGCTAAATGAGATGAGATGCGGTTCCTCCTTCATGAGCCCCCATGGGGCCCCAGCGCCTGCCCTGTTTAATATCCCACAGCCCCGTATGGGAAACGTCCAAAGCTAACCAGTGAGTGCAGGGAGGGGGTCGGCCGGCAGAGGAAAGTCCCGTGGCCATCCTCCGTGCTGCCTGGAGCCCTGGACCAGCGGCTGGAGAGGAGGCTGAACTTCCAGGCTGAGGATCTGGGGCCTCACTGCATCCTCAACTCTGGGGTTAGGACGCCCTGGTGGTGGCTGGGGGCAGCCCCAAGCCCAGAACCCTCAAAGAGAGAACTTTGCAGTTGAGCTGAGGCTCAAAGCTGCCGGAAACCAACCCACAACACGAGGCTTGAGGAAGAACCCAGCCCGCCCTCGGCGGTTTTTTTTTTTAGTCTCGTCCTTCCCATGCGGGCTGGACGCTTCTTTCTGGGTCCTGGATGGAGCCTCTGAAGGCTGGGTGGGAGCAGGCGCCCATGGAGATCTGTTATTCTCTCTTTACAGTAACAATGTACAGCCGGCAGGAAGAAGCGGGTGTGAGGCAGCTATGGGGCTGGTCGGAGCTGGATTCGCAGCCCCTCTCCTCGCTATGTGACTGTGACTTAGTCGCTGCACCTGTCTGGGCCTCATTTTCTTTCCTATAAAATGCAGATTGTGGGCACGTGTGGGCGATTCCATGTGGCAGTGCTCACAAGGCACTTAGCCTGGAGAGAACCCTCAGGACGTGAGGGGGAAGCTGCTAGCACAGGGCTCCCGCTTACTGGACGAGGCGCAGAGGCCGTGTGCCCCTGGAGCCCTCGTGAGTGAACCAGCCCCACTGGCCATTGAGGCGGCGTTGCTGGGCTGGTGGCCGGCATGCCTCAGCCCCAGCTGAGAGCAGTGACCTATCCCCAGGTGAAGCAGGGCCTGTTCTCACGGCTCAGACACCTTCAACTGAGCCAGTCCAACCAGCCCAGTGGGCTCCTGGGGGCAGATGAGGAGGAGAGAAAATAAGACCGGAACCAGCATTTGTGGGGAGGTGAACTGCAGGTAGCCTTTCCCAGGCTCTGGGCACAAGGCGTGTGCCCAGTGCGTTGAAAAGGGAGATTGGCTAATAATTGGGAGTGTCCCCGAGCACCGGACAGCCAGCCCTGACTCACGAGCGGCTGCTCCCGCTGGTTTCCGTGTGCTGCCTCAGTCAGGTGGTGTCATTCTTAGCAGCGGGGAGTTTCTTCACCCCTCTGCCTCGGTTTCCCCATCTTTAAGGTGGAGATATGTCCTACTTTATAGGATAATGATGCAATGCTCTTAAAACTACCTGGCACCTTGGGTGTGCATGGAAGGTTACTGCCGTTATTACTTCTTTCAGATTAAGAGCTCACTGTGTCAGGGAGTATGCTAAGTATCTTCCGTGCGTTTCTCTCATGCAATCCTATCATTAACCAGGGGAATACCCGGGTATTCCCACCCTCTCCATTTTACAGGCAGGAACTTGGGGCCGCAAGGTGTGGCTGTGGCTCACCAGGACCCCCTGCCTGGTGGGGGGCAGAGCTTGACCAGCCCCCGGGGGGTGCTTGGCTTCACATCCCCTTGATATGGGCAGTGCGTCCAATTCCCAGATGAGGAAGCTGAGGCTGGGAGTGACAGCAGAAGCCACAATTCTCTGGCCAATGAGAGCCAGAGAGGGCTTGGGGTCTCGTGTGCTAACCATTCACAGAGCAGCCACTTGCTTCCTTTCTGTTCCCCGACGGTCCCTCTCAGGCTCCACACGGCCCCTTTGACCAGACCGCACCCCATCCAGGGGACCTAGACATCCTGTCTGTTTCCTCCTGCGGTCACCTCTGCCTGATGAGTAAGGGGAGGACGGCCAAGCTCGCGCCGTGGGGAGTACACCGTGCGTAGAGAAAAGTGACAGGAGACAGTGAGACGAACTTTCGTAGACTGAACACACCGTGACCCCCACACCCAGGACCTGCTCTGCCCCCAGGGTCCCCCTCACGCTCCCTCCCGGTCACCAGCCCCGAAGACTCAAGCGTCACCCTGACGTCGAGGCGCGTCTAAGTGTCGGCGCGTTTTGTTCTTCATGTAAATGGAGACGTACTGCAGGCGCTCTCCGTTTTGTTTTGTTGTTTGGTGTTTTTTGTTTTTTGTTTTTTTAAATTAGGAAAATATTTTAACAGCTTTATCGAGGTATCATCCATACATTCCACAATTCACCCATTTAAACTGTAGACTCAGTCTTAGAACATTTCCACCACCCCCCAAAAGATATGCCGTGTTTCTTAGCCATCACCCCCGACCCCGCAGCCCCTGGCAGCTGCCAATCTGCTTTCTGACTCTGAATTTCCCCACGGTGAACACTGCATGGAAATCAAGTCGTATCATGTGTGACCATCTGTGCCTGGCTTCCTTCGCTTAGCGTGGTGTTTTTGAGGTTCACGTACGGTGAAGCGTGTGTCAGGACTGCATCTGTGTCTACGGTTGAGTGATGTTCTCGCTCTGGCCCGCTTTTCCGAGTGTGCCTCCTTTTCCGAACTGGGCTCTCGTGAATCTAAAATGTCAGTGTCTGAGTTTGGCTGGATGCCAACAGCAAGCCCAGTCAGGAGCCCTGGGTAAGGACAGACAGGAAGCAGCAGAGTGGGCAGAGAACACGGAGGCTGTTCCAGGCCCGGGGCCGGGTCCTCTCTGTAAGGTGGAGGCAGGACAGGAGCCAGCCGTGTGTGTGCTTTTCCGTTCGTTTATTTTTTTTCTTTAGATTCCACATATACATGAGATCATATGGTATTTGTCTTCTAGTTTTGAGTTCTGAATCTGGAGAATATCCTGTTCCCCACTTCCCACCCCTGGACATTGTTTGAACTAGCAGATGTCCTTCTACCTCGCCCCCCGGGTGTGCCTCCCGGTTCCCTGGGATCACTTTACCGGCCTGTGCCCTGGGTGTCTTCCAAGGCCTCTGCCCCTTGAAATCTATGGAGCGGACAAAAACGATGAGCAGGAAGCAGATCCCGAGAACAAAGGATGGCCTTATGTGGAAAGGTCAGGGAGGGAAGGGACTTACCTGCCCCTGTTCCAGCAAATCCACAGCCTTGAGAACCCGGTGACACCTGTGCCCAGCGACAGGGCAGCTGTGTTTGATTCACGCTCTCCCAAGTCAGCATCTTTATTTTCTTAACAGCTTTACTGAAATACCATTCACGTGCCCTTCAGCTCACCCATTAAAACGGCTTTTAGTATTTCAGTGGCTTTTAGTATTTTCTGAGTTGCGCATTTAGCCCCACAGTCAATTTTTTAGACATTTTCCTCATCCCCAGAAGAACCTCGTACCCTTAGCCATCACTCCCAACCCCCCAGCCCCTGGCGACCACTAATCTACTTTCTGTCTCTATGGGGTTTCCTATTCTAGACATTTCATATAAATGGAATCATACACTATGTGGCTTTTTCTGTCTGGCTTCGTTCACTTAGCATAACGTTTTCAGGTTTTATCTGTGTTGCACAATGTATCCACATTTCATTCCTTTTTGTGGCTGAGTAATATTCCATTATATGGCTAGACTACATTTTATCTAGTTGTCAGTGGACAGACATTTGGGTTGGTTCCACGTGATGGCATTTGTGAATAATGCTGTGACGTTCATGCATATGTTTTTATGTGGACGTGTGTTTTCGTTTCTCCTGGGTACACTCCTGGGAGCGGGATCGCTGGGTCACACGGTAACTCCACGTGTCACCCACCGAGGACCTGACAGACTGTTTTCCGAATCTCCAAGCCAGCCGTCTACTGCTTAATGGCCGAAGTAGGGTGTCTCTGCCTGGGGTCTGCGATGGGCCTCAAGTGGCCTTTGACCTTGGAATGGGCTGCATTTTTCTGGAGGTGAATGTCCAGGACGTTTATCGGATTCCCCCGAACATCTTCGAGCCTCCAGATCCTCCCGGCTCCTCCAGTCAGAAAGTTAGTGGAGGAGGCAGATGGGTGTGGCGTGTTCCAGTTTCGTCTGTGGACTGTTCTCGCGGGGTCTGCTCGGGATAAAAAATACAGTCCAGTGAACGTGTTGTCTGACATCTGCTTCCTTTTCTCCCCCGTCTCCCGGTGCTTCTCCTTCCTGGAACCCAGCAAGGAGAACTTCAACAACGTCCCTGACCTGGAGCTCAACCCAATCCGATCCAAAATCGTCCGTGCCTTCTTTGACAACAGGTGGGTCTTTTTCCTGGAACACCGGATGGCAGGTGACTTTGTCCTTGGGGAAGCATTTTGCCCTTGAAATTTCTCACAGAACCTTGTGTGCACAGAACAGACCCTCAGTTGATGCGAAGAAGAGGAGGGGGCTGTGTTGGGTAGGAACTGTGAGCATAGGTTTGGGTCGTACACATCTGGATTTGTAGCTAAGTGACTTTGGGCAGCTCACTCAATCCTGCTAGGTCTCTGTATTAGTTAGCTGTGGCTGCGTAACAAATTACCCCCAAACTTAGCAGTTTAAAACAATGAGTATTATCTCAATGTTTCTGTGGATCAGGATCTGGGTGCAAACTAGCTGGGTTCTCGAGCTCACGTCAGCTGGAGCTGCAGTCATCTGAAGGCTGTACCAGGGAAGGCTGCCTCCGAGCTCACTCACGTGGCTGTTGGCAGATGGCATCTCAGGGACCTGTCCATAGGGCCACTCACCCATAGCAGCTGCTGACTTCCCCAGGGTGAGAGAGACGTCCAAATAAGAGGGAGGGAGATAGATGGAAGCCACTGTCTCTCTGCAACCTAATCTCACAAGGGGTATCCCATTCTTCTGCTGAATTCTTCTCATTAGAAGTGCTTCATTAGGTCACTCCACACTTAGAAAGGGGTCTGAGCCAGGGGCCTGAACACAGGAGGCAGCGATCATCGGGGGCTGTCTGGGAGGCCGCCTCAGTTTCCTTTTCTATAAAACAGGTAATAATCGCCTCCGCCTCGCGGCATTGCCGAGAGGGGACGCTGCGATGATGCGTGCTAAAGCACTAGGTTAGCTACCGTCGCGCTCATCATCCTGGCGTACAGACAGGGAAACTGAGGCACAGAGAGGTGGCACACCTTGGCCGGCGTCCCAGAGCTGAGGCTCAGACCAGAGCTCAAATGTGTGGTTGGAGTCGAAAGACTCACGCGACCAGATGGAGACTCGCTGAGTCTGAGGCTGCGTCGGGCGGCGGGCCTGACTCCATCGCTGCGGAGATCGCTGACACACAGGGGCCATGGGCGGGTGAGGACTTCCCCGACCCGTTTCAAGCGATGTAACCCCAAACTGCTCAACTCTGGCTGTGCCAAGGATTTGGGGCCAGAGCAAGACTCCGAGTCCCCCTGAGCCTCATCTGTTCATGGGGTGGGGGACAGGGGGACCTCAGGCTGCCCCGGAAAATACAGAGGCCCTCCTCCAGGTCCTGTAGGGGTAAGAACTGAGGAGAGAGTGACCAAGAGTTAGCAAGGCAAAGCAGTGAGAGAAGGTGCTCCAGAACAGAGCAGCACGTGCAAAGGCCCAGTGGCACCGGGAATGTAGCTAGTATGAGTGGCAGAGAGGAGGCCTGGCTGGAGCATGGTGGGAGGTGTGCGGGAGGGCAGGGCTACACCATGCAAGCCCTAGACCTGCAGGGGACTTCAGCCCAGCAGCAGTGGCGGAGGGGGCACTGATGGGCTTTAAGGTGGGCTGTGGCGCGTGAACCAGGTTTGCATTTTGCAGAGGTCACCTGGCTGCCAGTGTGTTGTAGGAGACAGAGGCGGGAGGGAGGAGGGGTGTGTACTGCAGTTTCCCAGGCTGGAGGCAGGGCTGCTGGGTGGAGGTGGAGAGCAGTGAGCGGCTTTGAGACACCTAAGAAGGCTGGATCTGGAGGTGGAGGTGAGAGAGCCAGTACCCCAGGAATCGTCACAGCAAACTGTCACGTTTGCCAAAGGCGGACGCGACGAAGTCGCACAGCGGTGAAGGTTAGAGTAGCATTCGGCGGTCCCTACCCTCACCTCCTTCTCAATCCTGGTTCTGCCTGAGGAAGCCTCTTTGGTGGGCAGTGAGCCAGAGCAGGAGGGGAGGGAGCGGGGTGCCAGGGCGGGAGGTGGGCCCTGACGTGGAGCCGACACAGGCTGTTGGGGACGAGAGTCGGAGGCATCACGGGAAGATGGTTAGGAGCGACGAGAGCCTAGAGGGTGCCTGACGTGAGAAGGGTGTGTGTGCGTGCACATGTGTACATGCCTGAGTGTGTGTGTGTGCACGTGTGTATCCAGAAGCCCCCCTTGCAGACCTGGTCAGCTGTGACCAGGCCTGAGTCCCAGCCTGGTGTGGGGTAAAGCTGGTGGGGAGGCGTCTCCCCCAGTCCTGGGTAAACCGAGGCGAGGGGAGGACGATGGCCCTAGCACCCTCGAACCCCGCCTCTCCTCTGGGCCGAGGCCTTGGCCGGCCTGCACTTGAGCCCTTGCTCCCTCTGTGGGGTGGTGGGTGGGTGGGGGGCGGTAGATGTGGTTTGACTGGAGAAGGGCAGGAGGCAACTTCAGGGGCGGACGAGGAATGTTCTGTACCCTCATTGGAGGTGGGTTTCACAGGTGGGTTTACATCTGTTCCAACTTACAATGTGTGCCTTTTATTATATGTAATTCTTAAAAAAAAACAAAACAACAAACCGACCTGGTGTTTCTTGGCTCTCAGTTGTCACCTGCGGGAGCCATGTTTTCAGCCCTCGGGAAGGGATCCAGGTGTCCGCTGGGTGGCTCCCCACGAGCACTGCTCTGCAGAGGAGACGGGGTGTGGGAAAGGGGCTGGAGCTGAAACCGCCCTCTGCGCTGGCTTTGGGGCAGCATCCGGGAGGCAGGACAGACCCCCTGCTTTCTTGGAGGGTCTGAAGTTAGGACAGCCGTGGGAAGGCTGGTTACCTGAAGGATGGAGGAAGGGACGTCACTCAGCGGAGGAATGTTGAGTGCCCAGAGGGTGGACACTGAAACAAGCCTGCGGGGCCTCCGAGGAGGGGTGGCAAGGGCTAGGCAGTGGGGCCTGGGAGACCAGGTGGGAGCTTGGGGGTTACCCTAGAGCTGGGGGCCTCCAAGGGCGTCAACCACAGGAGAGCAGGGTCCGATTTGCATTTTGCAAAGTACAGTCTGGCTCCCATGGAGTACAAGGTTGGAGGATGCCTCTGGGGTGGAGGAGGCTGGACCAGGCCTTGGTGGGGGTACCAGGAAAGAAGGGGACCATCCCAGAGAAGACAGGAAGAGGATGTGGGGAGTGGAGGAGACTTAGGTCTGCAGCAAGGGCAGCTCGTGAGGTACCACCTGGAGGGAACTGCCATCGGACAGTGACCGGGGAAGGGGAGGAGGTGTGCAGGGCAGGGAGGGCGTGGTGTGAGCCTCCCCCGTGGGCCCTGGGGCCTCAGCCGTGGCAGCTGCTTACAGAACGTGGGTGTGGAGAAAAGAAGGTATCAGGTGACTCGACAGGCAGCCTGGAGGTCACCGAGGAGGGTGGATGAAGGAAAGGCCCCCCAGACCCGGAATACCCTGGACACTGCAGCCAAGGGCCTGCACCCCCATACATCCTTCACAGCTGGTCCTTTGAGCTCTGACGAGGAGGTGAGGGAGCACTTTAGGGTCACCAAAGCCGGGACTTTCTTGTCATAAATACCAACATCAGCCTTGCTTCCCAAGACCCTTCGGGAACAGGACAGTAACAGAGGCGCGGGGCTCGGAGGACAGTTTGAGCAGGGTCTGTCTCCACCTCCAGGAGCTCCGTTCCTTACAGGATCATCGGGAAGTTAAGCAAGGGAAATGTCGCTGTAAATCAGCATCTTTGCCATAAGAATGAGAGCTGCCCTGTTCTAGAGCTGGATTGCAGATCCGGATATAGCCCCCATTCTTCCGTCCACCGACCGTGGCCTTGGGGGCCCCATTATGGAAATGAGGGCAGAGAGCAGGTGGGTCTGGCTCCAAGTGCCAGGTCTGGGTTCTGCAGCATCTGCACTCTCGTCACCTTTAGAGACCATGGTGTTGTCCCCTGTGGACCTCCCAGGGACCCCACTCCCCAAATCGGGTCCTGATGGCAAAGCAGCCTGGGTCACGACCTTCTCTGAGAAGGACACGTGGCCTGCCTTCCTGGGCTGATCACATTTTCCCTGAAGCTAATCTTAATTCCTCCTGCCTCAGCCCAAACCACGTGGGAAGGACACGTGAGCCGACCACAGCGCCTCTGAGGAACCCGATAATTCCAGGGGCTATTTTTATGCCCTGAAAATTTGGTCTGTGCCCCTGACCCGAGAGCAGGAACGTCGAGAATCTGTTGGGAGGAGCTGCGGGGAGCTTTATAAGATAGAAGATTTAAGGGGAGATGGAGAAAAACACTCGAAGACTGGACTTCCTGAGTCTGAGGGAGCATCTCGTCTCCTCTCTCAGATTTGGAGTTCCATGACCCACCTTCCCTATTCCAGGCTTGGGATCCACCTCTTTCTGGAAAAATCTCCTGGAATGGAAAATTGGGACTGGGAAAATCTGGAAACTGTGAAGTGTGGTGCATACTTAAGAGACAGTTGGTATCTGGAAAAGAGTAGATGGACCCTAAAGAGAGAACCACAAACATGTTCCTTTAAACCGAGGTAGCTGTGACCCAGGTGGGACCCAAGTGCATTTTAAGCACTAACCCTTAACTGTTAGTCATCCTGGGCTGGCTGGAGAGCTGCCCCTTTGCAAGGGCACACAGTGAGGGCGGGGAACCCGCAGCCTGTCAGCCTGATGGCAGCCTGCTCCAGCCGCCATCAGACTGTCATGGTTTAAGTCAGTTACTGATGAGCCTTTGGCGGCAGCAGGTCAGGAGCCGGTGTTTGCTTGGTCGGGGACGTCTCCAAACTGTTGTCTCAACAACTGTACTTTTGTGCCAGGACCCGCCCTGGGTGGCTCTCATGCACATTTGCTGAGCACCTGCCATGTGCCAGGCACTGTGCTGGGCACAGGGCAGACCCAGCATTGCATATGCTCCCTGGGTCCCGCCTGGAACACCACCCTCTCTTGCCCCTTCAGAAAAGCCCGTCGATAGAGACAACCTCAAACCTGCCCATATTTGTTAAAAAACCTGAACTCGTTGGTGAACTTTGCACTTTGGTAGTAAACACGATTCAAAGCTGCTTGCTGCTGATCGCTGCCCTAGAGTTTCAAACAGCTGATAGAGAGCAGGAGTCAGCAAGCTTTTTCTATCAAAGGGCCAGCGGATAATTATTTTAAGGCTTTGTGAGCCTTGTAATCTCATGGTCTCTCATAAGTGCTCAACTCAGCTTTTGTAGTATGAAAGCAGCCACACATGATATGTAAATGAATAGGCATGGCCATGTGCCAATAAAGTTACGGACACCGAAATCTGAATTTCATGTCATTTTCACTTGTTGGAAATGCTATTATTCTTTTGGAGTTTTTACCTCCCCAAACATTTTTTCGACCATTTAAAAATGTAAAAAACAGGTGGCAGGTGGGATGTTTGCCCACCCCCATCTAAAGGAAAGAGTCAAGGGTCTCGGAGAGTCACTGCATTACTCAGTGCCTGGGTTTCTCCCGGTACAAGTGCCCACCTCTGCGGGCCCCCATGAGCAGGTAATTGGGAAATGGAACCCAAGGCTCGGACAGCCATCATGGGCTGCATGCCCCAAAGGGCTGAGCTCTCCGAGCTGTTGGTAGTGAAATGACAAGATCCAGTTAATTCATTTCCAACACTTCTCACCGCTCCCAAAGGAACCTTCGCAAGGGGCCCAGCGGCCTGGCCGACGAGATCAACTTCGAGGACTTCCTGACCATCATGGCCTACTTCCGGCCCATCGACACCGCCATGGACGAAGAGCAGGTGCAGCTGTGCCGGAAGGAGAAGCTGAGATGTGCGTGCCCCCCAACCCTTACTCTGCAGCAGGCGGGCGGGGCGAGCACGGGAGGGGAGGGTCGGGGAGCGCAGGCCCCCCTCCCTCGGGAGGTCGGTCCGATTCCAGCATCCGCAGAGGACACTGCTGGTGTCTCTCTCCCGCTAAGGTGCCCCATGGCAGCAGCCTCACAAGCGCCCCTCGGCGGTTGGTGGTTTTCTGGAGACAGAAGGGGGTTGTAGGTCATGTGAGAAGAACAAGGCCTTTGGTTCAAACAGACCTGGGTTCCAGTCCGGTCCCTTCTGCTAGGCGGCTTTGTGACCTTGAACGGGAATGTGGGGCTGCCGGCTGTGAACCGTGGCTGGCTCTGAGGCTCGATGAGGTGGCACAGGCAGCGTCCTTGGTGCACAGGAGCTGGCCCCTGAAAGCTTGTTTCCTCCCTCGCCCACGAGCCGCCGCGGTGCGCGGGTTTGCGGGATGGCCGCCGCGGGTCTCGGGTGACCTGCTCCATGCTGCCGAGCGCACTTGGTGATCCAGGCCAGCCAGCAGCACAGGGACCCAGGGTGCCTGGTGTCACATCTCCCTTCCCCACGGACTTTCTCATGGCTCCTGACATCCCTCTCGACCTGCCCCTGAGGCAGACCGG